CGGGGATTGAACTCAGGTCCTTGCACTTGGGAGGCAGGCGACAGAACCACTGAGCTAAATCCCCAGCCCTATAATATAATTTCTAAAGACAGTTTCTCAAGGATAAAATCAGTTATGAGTTTGTGTTTTAAACATGAGAAATTGGCAGTCAAACGATCTTTGTTTAATCAAAAACTCTACCAAACCGAAATATTTTTGTCTATTGCTTTTTCCAAGAAAAATTCTTTATTTTTGGCATTGCTCTCATAGTCACATGCAGATCCAGTGCTGTTTGCTGTATCTTGAGAAGTTTGAGTGGGCATGTGTGACTTTTGAGCATCTTACAAATTGCCTGCTGGCTGTTAGGAGGTGTGCATAAACTGCCAATTCCAAGATCATTATTGACAGTCTGCAGGTATTTAAGTGACTACTTCATGTCAGACACTGCTAAACACTGCAGAGTTAATTGAAAGGTAGTCCTTTGATCCTCAGCTAGTAGCGAAAGGTCTCATGAGGAGACAGATAAAACTGTTGCAGCACAGTGGAATAATGAGTATACTAGATGGGCACCCTGGGAATCACTAGAGAGGGTCTGAGCAGTATTAAAAGGTTAAGTAGTAGTTAAAGGGCTAGGGATGTAGCTCAGTGGTAGAGCATTTGCTTAGCATGAGCAAGGTCCCATGTTCAATCCCTAGCACCACAAATAAAAAATTCCCTAAAAATTAAAAAGGTGAGCAGTAGTTACATAGAAAGGTGTTCCAAGCAGAGGAAATAACATGGGCAAGGAACTGGAGATGTTCATAGTATGTATGTCTGGGAAAAAAGAATGTTTGAATGGAATAAAGGAGGAATAGTAGATGGATTGACTGGGTGGAGGGCCAGATTGGGAACAGCCTTTATGTACATAAAAAAAGATTAAATTTATTCTTCAATCTATTAGAAGCATTCAAGGATTTTAAGCAAGGAAATGAGTTGTGTTTCATAGAAATCATTATGCTAACTGAAAGGATAGAATGGAATGGGGGGGGGCGGAGGCAAAAGTTGAGTAGTCATGAAAGGTCACATATTGAATTTATTTAAATGTCCAGAAATAGGCAGATCTGTGGAGACAGAAGGTGGGTTGGTGGTTGTCAGGGGCTGGAGGAAAGGACGGAATAGTAACTGCTGCTGTATGTAGGGTTTCTTTTGGGGGTGATGAAAATATTAATGATGATGGTTGTACAACATTGTGAATTTTAAATACTGAAGGTATACTTAAAATGGGTGAATCTTACGGCATGGAAATTATATCTCAATATTTAAAAAGTGGAGGCACAGAGACTAGGTGGAGACTACTGAAGTAGTCTACACAGGAAGAACCAAGGCAGAGATACTAGGATCAAAGAGAGTAAACTAGGGTTAGAGAAAATGAATGTTCAATGGAGCTACTTAAACTGGGCCTGGGATTTGTGGCTTAGGTAACAAAGTAGGTGGTTTTGGTATTTTTAAGGGATCAATAATTCAGTATATCTGTCTAGGGTGATCTCTTCTTTTGTCATGTTAAATGTGTGGTACAAAAAGCCAGGGTGAGTTTGGAGCTGATGGGAAAGTCTGGATAAGAGACCTGTGAGACTTTGGCATTCATGGGCTATATTGGGAGTAATGAGGACTAGGGACCTATTTGGTAGGAAAAATTGGGGAATAGGGTGTTTCTAGGTGCAGGAGTGGCCAGCAGTGTCTGTAGCTAGTGAGAAGACGTCTAAGGGGTTTTCACTGGATTTAGCATCCAAGAAGCCATTAGTGAGGTGCTTCAGTGGAGTGGTAGGTACAGAAGACTGACCACAATCATGTGAATAAATGGAAAGATAGACACCTATAGCCAAAGTTCGGCTGTTGGAGGAAGGTAAGAAGAGCCAAATAGAGGACTTGGGATTTGGGGATTAAGCATGTCGACTTAATGTTATAGATGAAAGGCAGGATTTGAGTAATGCCTTGAAAAAGAGGCAAAATTTGAGAACAGAAAAATGATTGGAGGAGGCATTTATTAGATAAGTAACTTCTACAAACCTACTATGAGTAATAGCAGCCACTGTTTATTGAGCACTTCACATGCCAGATGATAAACTAAAGGCTCTACATGAGTTTTCTCATTAGTCTTTTTCCCAGCCCTTTAAGGGAGCTACTGTCCTTATTTCCACTTACAGATGTGAACACTGAGGAACAGAGGAGCTACCTTACAAGGTGTCTGTGTTTATGTAAGTGCAGGCATGGATAATGAAAAGAAAGGACCTGGTCACACAGCTAGTTTTCTTGTGGTGGTGGTGGTGGTGGTGCTACCCATAGGGATTGAACCCAGGGCCTCATATGTTTGGGTGCTACTTTGTAAAATGTATATATTATTTTATTATGATCATACCCCCTTTATCAATACCTCATTGTGGATATCCTTGTCTATTTTAGCTTAACATTTAGTCTTGTTCTTAAGTGTCAGAAGAGCCCTCTAGAGAATATTTGTTGTATTACAGACTTTTAGCTTCCCTTAATTGCTCGAAAGATTCTGAGTGCCTCTTGTTTCTGGTGGAGTTAGACACCAGGACAGATATGGTCACTGAGTTCTTGGAGCAAGACTGAGAAAGGAGATATCTGGGTGTGTTTGGGACAGGACAGGCAGAGTGGCATGGAAGAGGTTGAAAAGCTAGGAGGGCCAGCTATCCAAGCCTTTAAAGCCAAGATGAGATTGTATTTTAAGTATAGGGGGCCTTTATTGGAGAATATTGGTCTGGTTTTACATTTTAATGTCACTGTAGTTACTTTGTGTGTAGAGGACAGGTGATAGGGAGGCAAGAATGCAGAAGAGGAAGAAGAACAGTTAAATGGTAAGTGGCCCAGATGAGGGATGATGACCTGCTCAGTGAATGAAGTCATGGTAGTGTTTTTTGCAGTACTGGTGATCAAACCTAGGGCTTTGTACATGCTCGACAAGTGCTCTAGTATTGAGCCACATTGTCTCCCTCTCCTCTCTTTCTCCCTTTCCCTCTCCTTCTCCCTTTCCCTCTTCTCCTTCTCTTTCTCTTTTTTTGGTGGTGGTAGGGAGTGAACCCAGAGCCTTTGCACTGAACTACATTTCCAGCCCTTTTTCCTTTTTTTTTTTTCTTGAGAGAGTCTAAGTCACTAAATTGCCCAGGCTCAGCTCAAACTTAAAATCCACTTGCTTCAGTTTTCCTGAGTGCTGGAATTATAGGCATGTACTGCCATACCCTGAAAATTTTATTTAATTTTATTTTGGGACAGAATCTTGCTCAGTTGCTCAGGTTGGCTTCAAACTTGCAATCCTCCTGCCTCAGCCTTTCAAGTACTGGGATTAAAAGTATGCGCTACCACACCCAATTCCAAAACAATTTCTGAAAGATATTTCCTCTTACAGATGGGACAAACAGGTCATTTGCATCATTTGGAGGGCACATTTTAAAACTTGACTATTTTAAGTAATTTATAAGAAAAATTCTAACTTGTCCCATGTCTTTTCTGCGGTGATATAGCATTGAGTTAAATCAGGATTGTGGGTCAGATGCTTCATTTCAGATGAAAGGTTACCCATACATGGCTTCTTTTAGGCCTTATCTAATATTTTTAATCCAAATCGTTCTACTGTGACAGCCGGTAGAACATGCTGACACACAGGAAGGGTAACTGCATTTCACAGACACCAGGGAAGTAGCAAGAAATTCTTATGGTTTGTCCTGTGGCTGATGGGAGGCTCTGTCTTGTGGACATGGCTGTGCAGGAGACAATACAGGACTCAATTTATGAATTGCCCTTCTCTCTCCCCTTTCTCCTGGCTTTTTTTGCCCTCAAGGTTTTTTATTGTTACCTCACTTTTCTTTGCTGCAGTGAACTTCAGCCCTGCCTCTGTTCATTCCTCTTTCCCTCTTCCTCTCTCCCTCTTTCCCTCTCTCCTTGCCCTTTTGGCCCAGCCTCAAGGGCTGGAATGCTCTTCTGTTTACCTCCTTTCATTGCTGGTGGGTTTTCTCAGACACAGTTTCTCCTTGCTTTTGTCTCTTACAGCACAACCTCATGGAGCTGTGGGAGCTCCCTTCCTCCCAGTGCCCCTTAAGCCAGTTCTGAGTAGCAGCCAGACCTAGAACACCCATTGACATAGATATACTTCATAGCCCTCCCAGTTTCAGGTCACAGTCATGCTGGGCTTGGGAGGCCCCAGAGCAGAGGAGCACAGGCTCTGGAGTGAGACCCTGTTCTACCAGCAACTTGTATTCAGAACCAGCAGAGAGGGGCTGTGGTGAGGATTCTTGGTAACAGCTTATGTAAAACACCAGGCCCAAAGTAGTTGGTTAATAAATCCTTGCATTGATTGATTGATTTTGCTATTGATTGATGGAGACAGGATGTCATAATGTAGTCCAGGCCAGCCTTGAACTTACTGTGTAGCCTAAACTGGATTCAAACTTTCCATTCTTTTGCCCCAGCCTCCTGAGTGCTGTTATTGCAGGCCTGTGCCCTCACATGTGGCTCTGTATTTTAATATTATGTTAAATACAGAAAGCAGATCCTGATTTGGAACTGTTCTCAAGAAAGGAGACCTTGTTACCCCAAATTAGAAGTCTTTATTAATAGACAACAGAGTGTTTAGCAACATATCTGACATTTTTTGCTTAAGAGTTCAGAATTTAAACTTCCATCAAATTCCCATGTTCTAAGTATTTCAGCCTAATAGTTCTAAGGGATGAGTGAAGTCCACTGCTTCTGGCACAAGAGACAACTGAATTGCATTATATGGAGTGATAATGTACACAGAAAATCTTGCAAAGCTGCTGTGTGTGCACTGCCATCCTCTTACCACCTTCTTTAATCTCACAGGCCTGTCTTTCTAGTTACCATTAAATTACTGCAGATTTCTTCATATCTTTAATGTTAGTGTTTTAGAAGACAGTATTTGAAAGACTTGAAGGTTATAACTCTGTACGAAAGAATTGAAAACGTGGGATTTAAATCACTTCAATTGTGTTGTACTTCTTTGTGACATGGAGATACTCAAGTGTGGACATCGTGCCCACACACAAACCCAAATGGGTGGGTGTGCAGGAGCAGTCTGGGAGGGGTAGACCATACTGTCAGGGGTTATTCCTGAGGAGGGAGAGAGCATGGGTTGGGAGTGGGAGCAGGGCAAAGGAAGCCTTTCTTACATTCCTATGTACGTTTCTGTAAGATTAGAAGCTTTAAAAGAATATGTTCATGAGTTACATTACATTTGCAATTTAGAAAAACTAGTGACTTCCTTATCCATCTCCCTGTGTAAACTTCCCCTTCCAATTCAGGTAGAGCAAACTGGTCACTGCTGCCTAATTGTGAATTTCATTCTATTTAACATTTTCCTAAATCTATACTTTGGGATGAGAGTATAGATCTTACCTTATGTAAGTGATTTCTAAAATAGTACCCAAATGCTTAACTATCCCCAGCCTGAACAAGAAAGGAACCCACAGTCTCAAGTAGACTCTGTCACCAGTGCCAGTTCCTCCTGGCAGAAACTGAAGTACTCATGTGCCCATGTGGAGACAGGCCAACAGACTCCCTGTGAAGCAGTTTGGAAGTACTGTGGGCTCTATACTTCAGAAGCAACAGCCACCTGAACATTTCCCTTTGATACAGGATGGGAAGGACTGTGGTGCTGGCCACTTTCTGCCCTAGCAGCTAATCTGAGGCTCTGAAAGTGTGGAAACTTGATATTGAATGAACATATTAGGAACAGCACTTGAATCTGACTGTCCTCAATTATGAATCTGTCTCCAAAAATGCCTTCTGCTTATTCAGGTGGAGCTCATTTTCCCTTTTGAGCTATACTTAGATTCCTGAGGAAAATGTAAACTGACATTTCTTTAAGAATCCTCTCTTTGTAATAGAAATGGGAAATGTATGAGAAAAAAAGTTCTTAGATACATTAATCAACTCAAGGAGGGCTCATTCTTCTAGAGCAGTGGTGGTGAACCTATGGTGCACATGCCACAGCCAGCTGTTTGTATCATTGAAAGCTCTAAAGATTCACCATCACTATTCTAGAGCTTGTGATATGATACAAAATATTTCCTTAGATTTTTTTTTTTTTTTTTGCTACCAGGGATCAAACTCAGGACCTTGTGCTTGTAAGGCAGGCACAGTGCTACTGAGCTAAATCCCCTGGCCCTTCCCTTGGATGGTTTTAAGAAAACAAAAGCAATGTAAACATCTAAACTGTCACCATCTTATTTGTCAGTGCCAAAGCCTAGAAGAGATGTAGATACCTCTGAATCCCTTATTTAAATCTAACCTGGGCTGCTGTGCTGGGGGTAGTTCTTATATGTAATGCTAAATTTATGCCTTTTTTTTTTTTGGTACCGGGGATCGAACTTGGGTCCTTGCGCTTGTGCAGCAGGTGGCAAAACCACTGAGCTAAATCCCCGGCCCTAAATGTATGCCTTTTTGAAACTGGGTCCCAGTGTTTACAGATCAATATTTGATTTATAAACCAATATTTATTTTGTGAAGTGATGATGAAGTATGAGCCTCCTATATGAACAGCTTGTTAAACCTTGGCATGTGTCCCTTGTAGTCCAGGTGTCCCTACATGTAAAGAGGAGGTATTCAGTCCTCACCTGTGGGTATGTTCTTACCAACATGGCTACATGTTGGGTAGCAATGCCTGCTAGGAAAGAGCATTATTTCTCACCACTTATAGCTACAAATAAAGTAAACAGACCAGTTAGTTTTTAGAGAAATGCTTAAAGAATAAGTTTCTATAAACTCAATTCTTTTTTTTTTTTTTTTGGTAGCAGGGATAGAATTTGGGACCTTGCATTTGCAAAGCAGGTAGCAGAACCACTGAGCTAAATCCCCAGCCCTATAAACTCAATTCTTAAGTGACAAGTTAATCATTGCCGAAAAATTTTAAAGATGACATAATTTAGTGTAGTTTAAATTGAGAAAAGGTAAAGAATTAAGAAATAATATGTCCAAAATATATTTGAAACTCCCAAGTGAATGATTTTTTACAAAACTGACCAGAGAACAAAATGTTGAAGGGGCCAAAATGAATAGACAAATTAGGAAAACTACCAAAAATAAAGTGGCTGAATATCATGTTCCATGAATCGTGCCATGAAAACATTTATTGTGATGCAAAATGGACTCTGGTGCCAAGCTCTGTATACTAGAGTTTCAACATGATCAAGTATAAAATTCCACGGAGCAGTTTCTGTTATCCTGAAAGGAACACAGTAGGCACAGTAGGGAAAGCATATGAAATACAGTAAAAGAACAAAATATATATATATGTTTTTCTTCAAAGTTAACACAGCATAATTACAGTAGTATGGCTGGAAATGCTTGGTCTGTTGTTTTACCATTTAAATCCATTGAGCCTTGCTCTATGGTGTTCTAAAATTTTATTTTAGATTCTCTGGAGTTTTATTATAGATATGTTTCTAAGACTTTCCATGTTTATCTCCTTTTAAGTTTGTAGACAGGATAAAAATGTATGTATAGTTAAGAATATTTGAATTTGTTGTTAATTTTTTCAGTAAATATAACTCCTTAAATATCTGCGTGTTAATTTCAACTCACTTTCTATTTTTTATCTTTAGATCTCTTTTTATCTCAATGAATAGAAACATCTTAAATCTTTCTGCTTGCTTAAGGTCAGAGGAAGCTAAAATCTGGTGCCCTTTCTCAGAGTGGTTCCTTCCAGCTTTCTAGGCTATAAGCCCAATAATCACTCACTGCTACGAAATTGTTTTCATTGAAGTTAGGTTGGGGAGGATATTTTATTAGAAAATAAAAATCAGGATAATGAAATCTTATTCTTTGGAAATGCTAATGTGATGTGCCAGGCTTTATTTTTCAAGTAGCCAACTTAGATTCTTAAACTAATCATAATTTTACTGTAATGCTATATTTTAGTAATAAAGAAAAATACACTCAGCTATATAGTGTAGTATCAAAAGAGAACTGACCTAGACTGTTACATATTTTTCAAGAGCATGTATTGTGGTGTCTGTGTAACTTATGTTAAAGTTCTTGGCGTGTCTTCAGCATTCTCAGGTTGTGAGGAGCTGCTGTGATGCATGCAGCCAAGCTCAGTATTCCACAGTGGGGCCTAGGGAAAACAGGGGCAAAGCAGTGATCCGGATAGCTGTTTTATGTGGCCTCTTCCCTTCTCCCCAGCCCCGGTGTCACTGAGGGGCACCTTCTTGAGATAGTTCTGCCTGCTCCCTGTTACTACCCACATGGACCATAAGCTCTAGGCTGGCTCCATCCTGTGCACTCTGGGCATATTAGTTAACTTCTGCCAGAATCAGTATCTTCATCTGCAAAATGGAGATAACATTATGGTATTCACCTCATAGTTTTTATAAGAATTGCCAGTGATATAATACAAGTGATTAGAATAATGCCTGGAACTTAGTAAAAACTAAATAAATTACAATTACTATTATATGCTTATACATTTAAGAAAACCTGATGCTTTAAAAATTTTTTCTTCTTCCAATTAGTGATCAAAAAGGCAACTATGGAAACATCTAGAACATTTCATCTATACTTATATTTACTTAAATGTGTGTTTCTCCATAACCTAAGTGGAGGAACCAGGTCTTATTCATTGTTGAAATTTCTAGCATATGGCACAGTGCCTACCAAACAGTAGGTAAAATTAGGTGTTCAAGCCTATTAACTACTCTAACACTATGATGAAAATTATCAGTGGTTCAAAATAAATATTCTGGACCTTATCGCTGGGGTGACTAAATATGTCTATAACATTTGCCAATAAAATGTAATAGTTTTAGGGCTGGGGATTTAGCTCAGTGGTTCTGCCAACTACCTCGCAAGCACAAAGTCCCGAGTTCTATCCCCAGTACCAAAAAAAAAAAAATAGTAATAGTTTTAAAGGTTTTTTAAAAATGAAGTGTTTAATGAATGAATTTGATCTGATTGACTACTGACCAGGTGCAAAATTCTTAAACTTGACCTCTAATCCAAAGACTTTTACAGATTCTGACTTCAAAGAGTTTGCAGGCTGGGAAGGAAAGTAAGTATATAAATAGTTACTTTCTTCTTGTCCCTTAATGAAAATATAAACAAAAGGGAAATTTCAAAGGAGTTGGTTATCTGTATAAAATTAAAGGGAAGGAGGATATAAGTAGACATTACTTAGAAGTCACTTTTCCTGAAGCAGAGTTGACATGTGGTCATCTGTCCTAGGTACTGTCGTTTTTCTTCATTGGTCTGATGTCCATGATGATACCCCTGTGCAGGGTCTTTGGGGCCCTCATTGCTGTCTGTCTCATCATGGGACTCTTTGATGGATGCTTCATTTCTATCATGGCCCCCATTGCCTTTGCATTAGTTGGGGACCAGGATGTTTCCCAAGCAATTGGATTTCTGCTTGGACTCATGTCTATACCCATGACTGTCGGCCCACCAGTTGCAGGTAAATATAACGATTCTCCAGTAGTTATATTAATTCTAAGCATTTTTTATTTCAGGTCCTAAGCCATACTTTCATGTTAAACATTATAATGTACTAATTACTAATCCTTTGATTTAGGTATGTGCCTTATCTCTTATATTTTTAGTAAGATTAGCTATAAATAATATGTTGAAAAAGATTTCCAAGGACTCCTTTTTTTCCTTAAGTAGCATCTAGACAATAAATGTGTAACAGTATCTAGGAACTAAACTTTCAATTTTTTTATGTTGCTGGGGATTGAATGGAGGGCCTTGCCCATAGTAGGTAAGCACTCTACTATTCAGCTATATCCCCACCAAAATATTACTTTGGGTTTTTTTGGGGGGTGTGGGAGGGTGCTGAGGATTGAACCCAGGACCTGGGGCAAGCTAAGCATGAATTCTACTGTTAACTCCAGCCTCTAAGTTTTTCACAATTTCTGTATTTCAATTATTATATGACTTAGACTCATTAGAGGAATAGTATTCATGTTTTTTTAAAAAAATGAAGATTCTGAGAGATTGCTAAATGTATATGTTTTGTGAAAGAGATCATGTCCCCCTGAGGAATATTTGATAAAAAATAACATTCAATAGAAACAACTCAATTGTTTATCAGTGGATGAGTGGGAAAGCAAAATGTAACATATCCATATAATAGAATATTATTGAGCCATAAGAAGGAATGAAGTGTTATACTGATACATGCTACCAGATGGCAAGGTGAAAAAAACCAAGTATAAAAGATCACATAGTGCAAGATTCCATTTATGTGAAATGTCCAAAATAAGTAAATCTATAGAGGCAGTAAACAGACTGGTGGCTGGAAAGAAAGAGGACTGGGAAATAACTACTTAATTTGGACAGTTTCTTTTTGGCACGATGGAAATATTTTGGAACTGGTAATGGTTACACATCACTGTGAATTTACTAAATGCCACTAGACTGGTTAATTTTATGTTATGTGAATTTTACCTTTAGAAATCTCTTGAATATCTCCTTTATATAGGGACAGCTCATGTTTAATATTACTCAGTGTCAGTGTGAATCAGTATAAGATTCAATACAGGGCTGGGGATTTAGTTCAGTGGTTACGCTGCCTGTCTCAGCGCAAGGACCAGAATTCGATCCCTGGTGAAAAAAAAAAAAAAAAAAAAAAAAGATTCAATACAAATGTGATTTTCAAAAATTTTACTTTATTTAATTTGTGTTTGGGGGGGGTACAGGGGATTGAATCCAGGGCCTTCACACTGAGCTAGATTCCCCAGCCCATTTTTATTTATTTATTTATCTTTTAATTTTGAGACAAGTGCTATCTAAGTCACTAAATTGCCCAGGCTGGGCTTGAATTTGTGATCCGCCTGCCTCAACTTCCCAGAGTGCTGGGATTACATGTGTGCCCCACCATGCTTGGCTAACAAATATGGTAAAATTTAAATGTATCTATCATTATTGGTGGCTGACACCATGGGCATCACCGTCCTTCATTTTTGTAATCTAGAACTATATTCCCAGTCATGAATCAATCAAGCAGAGTTACTACTGAGCAGACCAAATAGAGTTGAAATTCTAAAGGTGGCAGTTTCCCTGTAGGAGAATCCTCTCCCCCTTCCTCTTTCCCTAGGGTAATACACTATTCACTATTATTTTTATGCCCTACAAGCTTAGTTTCAGGGTTTCCAAATTGACCGCAGCTTATAAGCAACACTTTAGTAGGAAAGGTGTATGCTATCAGACCAAGAATAATGAGGTAACAGGAAATTTCCAAAGTGGGCAGAAAGATTTAGCTCAGCGGTTCCAGTGCCTGCTGCACAAGCACGAGGTCCCAAGTTTGATCCCTGGTACCAAAAAACAAAAATCAACAACAAAGTGGGCAAAAAAACAAGCAACAACTAGCAGCAGAAAGCCCCTAGCAGGCCTAGCTCACCAGTAGGTTCTGAGGGCATCACAGTATTATAGCAAAACCTGATTAATTAATGTTCATAAAGATGAACGCTTCAGTTACATATGGAACATTCTGATTCAGAAGATAGGGAATTTGTATATTTAGAGATACTGCATATTTTATGTTTATGTCCAGAGTGAGAATGCACATTCATTTGTATGTATTAGTATTTAACTGAAAAAAATCTTCAGTTACTTATTTTAAAAAATCAGTCAAATCAATAATACAGTATGTTCCTTGAAAATTTCAGATAACTGAGGTTGTATAGTAAAGGTTTAAAAACACTAAGAAAATGTTTAAAACCCCAAGTCCCAGATTTTGTTAGGGAAATTCGAAGTAAAAAGTACTCTAAATAATACCACTCAGAAGAAAAGTGCAAGGATCTAATAGAGTGCCAAACATACATTCTTATATATTCTTCCCCAAGGACCGACAAGTGTTAGTATCTTTCCAAAATGTCACAACCTTTTTCATCCTGACTTAAATTTATATTTTTCTTTCTTTTGGACCCCCTGCTCCCCCCCTCGAGAATTGAATGCAGGGCTTTCATACTGAGCTACATCCCCAGTTGGCCTTTTTTTTTTTTCATTTTTATTTTGAAACACTAAGTTGCCCCCAGGTTGGCCTCAAACTTATCATCCTCCTATCTTAGTCTCCTGTGAACCTGGGATTACAAGTATGTGCCATGATGCCCAGCAGTTTCATATTATTTATACAAGTACATAGATCCAAGATCAGTTTGAAATGTAGACATTTAAAACAAGTTTTAGCTGGATGCTGGGTCTGCCTTCAGGTGATTCTAGCACTGTTACCCTACATGTCTGAATACCCAAACTGCCTCTAAGGGATTTTGAGAAAGCCAAAGCTTAGTTGCAAATATTTTCCCAACTAATATCTTGGTACAGAAACCTCAAAGGCCAGTACTCTGAGACAAGATTAAAGATATGAGATATTTTCCTTCTTCGTATCAGAAGAGATTTATATTTTACATATATTTCCTTAAAGTGTCTGATGTATCTGAAGGAATTCAACTCAGCATACCATGGGGATACCTGCACACTTGTATTTCACAGGAGAATATACAACAGCTAAGATATGGAACCTGCCTAGGTGCCCATCAATAGATGAGTGGTTAAAGAAAATGTGGTGCATATACCCAGTGGAATATTATTCAGCCATAAAGCTAATGACATTTTATCATTTAAAGAAAAATGGAGGGATCTGTAGAGCATAATGTTGAATGAAATACGCCCAGACACAGACGAATGTTGCATGTTTTCCCTAATATGTGTAATCTAAAAAAGACAAAGTAGGAAGGGGAACTTTTATTAGATAAGAGAAAGGGATGAAGGGGAGGGGAAGGGAGTGTTAGGATGGGTAATAGGGGCACGAATATGATCAGAATACACTGTATACATTGAAGCCCCCAAATGTGAAACTAAGGGGAAGGATGGGGCATGGAGAGTGAAGAGGGAGCAAAGTATGTTATGTGCATGTACAAATCTGCCAAAATGAAACCAAATTCTCTGTATAAATAGTATGCACTAAAAAAAGTGGGAAAGACAAAAGTCTAATTCTGAGATGTCTGAACCAGTCCTGCGAAGGTGAAGTTAAGAGCCTGGCTCTAGGTGACTGATCTGAGGCCCTAAGAGGCACACTTGTTCTCTCTCGGTGACAGCTTTTTCTCTTCCCAGGGTTACTTCGTGACAAGCTGGGTTCCTATAATGTGGCATTCTACCTCGCCGGAGTCCCTCCCCTTATTGGAGGTGCTGTACTTTGTCTTATCCCATGGATCCATAGTAAGAAGCAGAGAGAGATCCAGAAAACCACTGAAGGAGAAAAGATGGAGAAAATGTTGGGGAACCAGAACTCTCTGCTGTCAAGTTCATCTGGAATCTTCAAGAAAGAATCGGTTGCTATTATTTAATGTCTTATATACCTCTACCAGACTGGACTTGCTTTTGAATTTTAAGCAAGTTTTCCTTTTATATGAATTGCAAATTTTCTATTTTTTAATCACATCCTTGGAATAGCACAATGATTGAAATAGAACTTTTGTTACTACAAGAACCGTTTTCTGCCACCAAGTAGCTATGATATTTCCAGGAGTCTTGAGGGAAGAGACTCTGTTACAGGAAAACATATCTGAAAGTCAAATATTTTGAAGCTATCTCAGTAAGAGGCAACTTTGGAAACTGTGAATTCTATTTAGCTTGTAAAATACTTTAAAATACCTCAAGCTATATTGAATGGTTACAGTTTGGTTAGAACTGGAAATATTTTATTTGTCTCATGTAGTATCTTGAGTTCTGCTGGTACCTCTGTTTTGAAACATTTTGAAAAATTTAAGCTTGTATTCTAGATAACAACAGATCCACCTAAACTATAGGACTATGTGAAAATTACTTTCCTGCTGCTCAATAAGCTATGAAATTGGGGTATTCTAACTTGTTTCAGTGTCGAGGAGCCTTCTGGGAGGAGATGCTAAAAGTGTATTTGAATTGATATGTGAGCTGAGGAGGATCCTCTTCATAAGGGCAGAGCAGTTTTCTTCCATTTACATTTGTTCCCTTTGGGTTTGCAGTGTGTTTTGCTCAAGTAGCCAAAACATCCCAAATTTTTGATTTTGTTTAAATAATAAAATACAACAGAATGCATGAAAGCTATTCTGGAAATTAACTTAGAATATTTCTGACTTCTGGATTTATTAGTATGGTAAAGTTTTATTAAACATGTTATCAAATAGGAGTTATAGGCCCAAATTGGAGGGAGAAGCAAAACTTTATTTGTGAAGAAAATAGCATTCTGATATAAACAATTGCTTAAATTGATTTATGAAATAATAGGTCTTTAAGAATTAAAAGTACTTATAAAGAGAAACAGTTCCTATATTTCCAAAGTTTTCTAGCAAAAATTTGCATTCATAAATTGCTTAATGACAAGGATATTTTGGGAAATGCATCATTAGGTGATTTTGTTGTTGTTCAGGTATCACAAAGTTTACCTTACACAAACTAAAATGGCTATTACATCTCTAGGTCATACAGTCTTAAGGGACAACTGTCATATGCAGTCTATCATTGACTGAAATGTCATCATATGTCATATGACTATCCTAGAGCAATGGTGGTGAACCTATGGCACGCATGCTGCAGTAGCCTGTTTGTATCATTGAAGCTCTAAAATGTTTGCCATCACTGTCCTAGTGTGTTCCCTATTAACATTTCTGTTATTTTTTCTATTTATATTGAGATTATTATTAGAAAACTATTATTTTTAGGATCTACAATTAAAACCAAAGTCATGCCATAACCCATTACTCATTTATGAAAAATGGAACAATGTTCTGTATCTTTAAGATTATACTTTCTACTTGAGACTTTTAAAATTTAATAATATAGAAAGTATATTTAAATCCTAAGTATAGAACAACATTAGATTGTCCTTGAATGTACCTGTTCACCTGAAAAGAATGCTGTCTTAAAGCAGCTCCAGGATCCATCTGTTTCTAAATTATGTTAGGTAAGAACATTGTTTGTATTATCTCAATACTTATGTCTTCTCTTGTGGTTACAAGGCAGAGTCCTTCCATTCTTTGTCCGGGTAAGGAGGGGACTATCTGGAGAGCATATGGATTTGTAGTTGTTGGTTTGGGAGTGGTGGGCTGGGCCATGAGGACGTGAGGCTGTTAACCGAAAGTTGGAAATCCAGTGACATTCAGGTTTCTGCCTTCTCATCTGCCACCTTGAAAGTTCATTGTGTAAATACTAAATGTGGAATTTATTTTAGTAGGATTTTAGTGACAGGGATTTTGATCATGAGTACATTCAGCAGTTTAGTATGCTGTACACACAGTTTCATCGTACTACTTCTAATAGTCAGGAGTCTTTGATAATTTGTTTGCTGAAGGTTCTGTTGCAGAAAACAAACAAAAAACCTACATTTTGACCATATTGCCCTTTTATGTTCTTATTTTAAGCTTTTAGAAAAGGATTTAGGCATAATAATATAGTACATTATTGAGTCCTTTACTTATTCACCTCCAGTTGTCTAAAACATTACTTCATTAGTGATATCAGTGCTTTTGAAAAGTTCAGAAAAATAACTAAGACCAGTCATCCAACCTGCCATTATAAAATGTTAATTTTTAAACATTTTTAGCAAACATTTCTAAAGATACTCCCCCCCCCATTTTACAGAAAGAATAATTCTAAAATGGAAAATTAACTGTATTAGGACCTCCAAAATTAACTGTATTAGAACCTCCAGGTTTTTCCTTCAAAAATTTGGCTAATTTTGGAGCAAGAAAAAAAAGGTAATAAATCTGAAATCCAAACACTTGGTCTTGCTGGGTTAGTTTTCACTTTAAAACAGCAAAGTGACTTAAGTATTTATAATAAAAATTTAGATTTCAGCATATTATATTGGTATATAATATACATTTATAGTTTTCAGTTTAATACAATGAATCAAACTGGATCTATAACACTAAAAAAGCTCTACTGTAGTAGATGCTTATGAAGAGTATTATAGTCATTTAAAGTTAGAAAAAGAATAAAATATGCTAAATTCCTCTAAGTAAATATTTAGGAATATATTACTTGGTAAGAAAAGTTCTACAAATCTAAAATATACAAACCAAAGCTATGAAAAATACTAATTAATAATGATAGGTATTCTAGATTTTACAATATTCTAGATTTAAAATATTCTAGATTTTAAAATATTGCCTTAGTAAAAATAAATCCTAATTTCTGAACAGTGTTGCTGTTGCAGTGTAGTGACCTGATAAACTATTTTCATTCAATCCAGGCACTTCTCTGAGAGGAGAATACAGTGTCAGAACTTTTAAAAAATTTCATCATCCTACCTCTGATAAGACTCAGTAAACTCTCTTATTCAAAAGGTTCTGGCAAGAGGTTGAGGCCAACAGTAACAAGAAAGGGAGGATTCATTCTTCATAGAAACTCAGGATCAGATACTACTGTAACAGGTGCCCAAGGAGCTGCCAGAAACGTTTTGGTTAAATTTCATTTCATTGGATATTGTTGGGATCCATCAATTTAAATAATATACCACCCAGATTATTACTACTTTATTATAATTTGTAAATCCTTTTGATCATAGTTGTGACACTTTATAGCCCTGTTACAAGACTTGCAATTTCCACTGAAAATTGCGTGGTGTTTATAGCAAGCTTCCAATTCCATTCATAAATAGAAATAAGACTTCAGTTACGTTTCATGATCCATATATTATCAGTTTATACATGTTTGCAGATGATCCCACAGGATCCACCCAAGTATGCAGAAACTTTTAGTGATTTTAGCTTCAACTTCCCACACTTTGGAAGTAAATGTACACTTAAGTATAAATAGTAAACATATTTACTTTTGATAACTGTAATCCTTTTAACTGCAATTAAGCATGTTTTAATTTATACCCATGTCATCATAGCACCATGTTCAGATAATTTTGATGTTAGTCAATAGAAAATGTGTTACAGGGTTTGGGAGAAGCAACCTGTAACATGGGTGGCTCTGAGGAGTGCCTGGTGCTGGGCTGTCACACTCTTTCATATGCACCTTTTTTAAAAATCTGTATATAAAAAATTAACCTCAACCCTTTATTTCCATACATAAAAATAACTTGAAAGGATCTATGAACCTAAATATGAAAGACTAAAACTATAAAACTTGAAGAAGAAGGGCCAGGGATTTAGCTCAGTGGCGCCTTGCCTGCCTGGCAAGTACAAGGTCCTGAGTTTGATCCTTGGTACCGCAAAAAAAACACCAAACTTAAAGAAGAAATTATAAGGGAAAATGTTCATTAATTTAGGGTAGGCAAGAATTTCCTAGGATACAAAATACATGATGTATAAAAGAAAAAAATTGATAAATGAGATTCCATAAAAATTTAGAACTTTAAAAGACATCGTTAAGAAAATGAAAAGTAGCCCTTAACCAGAACATATTTATAACACATATAACCCATGATGAGAATATATAAAGAACTCTTACTAATAGACAACCCAATTAAAAAGTAGATACAAGGAGATGGTAAATAGCCAGTACAGCACAAGGAAACCGTGCAACACTAGAATCAGAAAAAATACTAATCAGTACAATACCAAGATTGTATTTATTATACACTCATTAGGGAGATTAAGTTAAAAGTTTTAAAAGAACAAATTTCAGCTGAGGTATGAACCAGTTAGAACTTTCTAATACTGCTAATGTGAATGTAAAATGATAAAACCATTTTGGAAAACAATATAGAAATTTTTTGTATTACTCTTAAGAACCAACAGTTCTGTTCTTAAGTTTTTACTTAAGAGAAATGAAAACACATGTTCACAATAGATTTGTACATATACGTTGACTGTCCCTTATCTGAAATTCTTGGGACCAGAAGTGTTTCAGAGTTTGGTTTGAAATCCACTTGATCATGCACCTTTTTTTTTTTTTTAACTCTTTTCTGTTTTCCTTATCATTCTTTTTTCTACATTTCCTTTACTCTAAGATCCTTCAAAAACTTGGAGTCCGTTAACATTCTTGCTTTGTCACACTGTTGCTTAGGTGCACTACTTAGTTTTGTTCTAAGTTGGAGAATAGCTTGCCCCTAGTCTTCAGCTTACAGTCCAGTGGTCTACAATGAATTTTAAAAAATTATATGATTAAAATATTTAAGCTTCATATCGTTATCTTTTGTGATAGGTTCTAAAACTTTTTATTTAAATGTTTAAGTGCTTTGAGAAGAAAATTGCCAAGTTAACAAATATTTCAGAAAGCATAATTTTTGCTTTGATTTTCATATTCCATTAAGGTTTTATTAAATCTTAGTCTTGAGACTGTATCATGGAGAATGACTTGGCATATCCTGGGCCTCTCAGAAGCCATTCTGGCAGTTGATCATTAGGAACCTAAGGTTGGATTACATTCTGTGGTGAATGGTGTTAGAGTAAAATCCCTAGAGTCTGCAGATACAAGTAGAAATATATGAGCTAATTTTAACCTATGTGAACAATTTAAGCAAGTATAAAAAACTAGAGTATGTAATCTCACCACTCTGTGAGGCTGAGGCAGGAGAATTGTAAGTTCCATCTCAGGCTAGGTAACTCAGCAACTTGGGAACACAGTCTCAATGCAAAATATTTTAAAAAGTGCTGGAAATATAGCTCAGTGTGAAGGCTCTTGGTTCAATCTCCAGTACCAGATTTTAAGAAAGGAAGGAAAAACAAAACAAAAAAAACACTCCTTAGGAAGTTTTTAACACTAAAAACTTAAATGATGCTGGCATAAACATTAAGAAGCAACTTTTGTATTAGGTTAAAGGTAATTGCTTTTCCATTATACTATCTTAAGGGATGAAGTGCAGCTCTTTAAAAGGCAAGCTTTTGGGCTGGGGATTTAGCTCAGTGGCACCATGCCTGCCTCGCAAGTGCAAGGTCCTGAGTTCGATCCCCAGTACTAGAAAATAAATAAATAAAAGGCAACCTTTTTGTCATTATTAACACAAAAGCACAGTTAGTCATTCCTAACAGTGATGCGGTGAGGTAAGGTGGGATGAGAATGCTATGAAGAGCACTGCTGTCTTATTAGTTTGGCCCTTATGCTCACTGATTTTTGTGGATGGTTTGCTCTGATGTAGATAAAAAACATCCTGGAGCTGAGTTTGAGAATGGTGCTGGGGCAAGTAATAAAGGGGACAAACAACTCCTGGGCTCACTATAATTTCATAGCCACATCCATGTTTATTATTCTATTTGTTGGCAAAAACTGATATTTCGTGTTATAAATAAACTATAGTAGGGTACAGTTCTCAAAAGTAAAGGGCCAAATGCCCATAGTTATGTTTGGAAACTGCATACATGTTAGAACCATAGTCTTTGAACCGCCATAAATGACTTTATCAGATGACGCCTGAGGAAATAAAGATCCATGTTGTGAACCTTTCAATCACTCTGAGAAACCTTGAAACTTAGGGTATAGTAGTTTACTTTTCATGTCCTTTTTTAAACTTCCAAATAGTAAACTTTAATCATCTTGACCTCTATTCATTCAGGGAAACCTCTTTTAAAGGTCCATAGACCATTCTAAATGGGTACAGTTTTGCTTGTGGGGGGAATGGTACTGTTTTCTTTCAGATACAGAATAATATAGGAGGCTACCTCATTCTGAGACAGAAGATTTCAGTATTTCTAACTAGTAAGAGGCTGTGGGAATGAAATAGCACCTTTCTAAGAACTCGAGGCCCATGCTCACTTCATCCTGACAACTTGCCTACCTCAGCTGTCAATCAGAGGCCCTGCTGAGTCAACACATGCTTCATCAGAGGGTGCTGTGGTGATTCGGGATTAAAAGGCAAACAAGTACAGGTTGTTAATGGGGTCAGAATTTCAGTAAAATTTCTTTAGTACTTTTTTTCTGATAAATAGATGTTAAAGGGTCGAACAAGGAATGACGGCTAATGTGGCCTGTGGGTCTGACAAGGGCAAAAATTGAAGAAATTTATAATCCAGATACAATAACGAGTATTTGCTAAAATGCTTCACCTGTGGCTTTTTAAACTGTGGTGATGAAAAGGTCTTGTTTTCATTGGCAGAAGGATAGAAGATCTCTGATGGTGTACAGTTGTGCCCGAACCTCACAACTTACACAGTAAACTTCTGTAAGAGGTGCTCCTTTCCAAGTGGGACAGGGACCATGGCAATGAGCTTTTATCTCACTAGAGTTTTTTAAAAATGCTGTCATTGGGTCTGATAACAGTGTAGGAGTTAGCCCATATGTTTCCAGTCTAATTAAAGATGTTTCATTGCCTTTCAATATGAGTGCTGTAAGAAGAGTATTGTGGAATTTAATGTCACTAAGCATGCATGCGATAGGAATGATCAATACAGAATAACACCAGAAATCAAATTATACCATTTTAGAGCCTATAATATGACTTTTATTCTTTATTAGTTAACATTTAAAAAATATTAATCAGTTTGTTAAATATTGTAAATATGTGAAAACACAGAAACTTTCTACTGTGATCTTCCCTAATGGGTTGAAGTGTCTTTCATGTTTTAGTCTATATTAGAATATTATTTCAGGGAGTGAGGATCAGCTATTAACAGTGTTCTGTTTTGACCCCACACTACGGATGAACTGTTGGTACCATTCCCCCCACAAAGAAAGATTAGATCAAGATTATTAGTGCTAAACTTCAGTTCCTTTCAAAATTATTTTTTTCTTTTTAAATACAACACAAAAATGTGTAGAACCAACATTATAAATGTTGCATTTTGTATAACATCTGAGAATAAAACTTCACCTTTAAAGTGATTACTGAACCTAGTACTTCAAAGTATGTAATTTTTGTTAACACCGAAGGATTTAAATTATGAATCTCACAAGAAAATGATCACTAAATGAAAACTTTCTGATGATCATGGCCTTCCAAGGTAATAACTTTAAAAGAAAAATTCCTTTGCCAGTGTTTCTAGCACAAAGCAAGCTATTTCTGTGATTCTGAGGGAATGTAAACAAATTACATATATAG